GGGTGAGGGGAGGTGCTGGGAGAAGGCTTGAAAGAAGGGGTGGGCATGAGGAAGGCTGGGATGGAGCAAGTCATGTGAGAGGGCACAGGGACATGAGAGGAACGGGGTCAGAGGGGTGGGCATCAGGGAAAAATGGAGCAGTCAGGTTGGAGACAGTGTAGGGGGGATGGGCAGAGGAGCTGGTGGGAGGGATAAGTAGAGGGAGGCAGCGAACGGGTTCGGAGGGGTGAGAGGCCTCAGAGACAGTCATTGGTGCTTCCTTTGAGCATTCAGTTTAATCTGGCTCTCACTCCCGCAGGAGGAACCAAAGCCTGGGGACCTGATAGAGGTTTATCGCATTGGATACCAGCACTGGGCCCTCTATGTAGGAAATGGTTACGTCATCCACCTGGCCCCACCCAGTAAGGAATGGCCCCTCAATGAGCGGGGAGAGGTGCTGAGCTGGCGAGGGGAGGTTGGACTGGGTGGGGAGGAGCTGCTGGGCATGTCAGTCTGGGACAAGTGGGGGGGAGGGCTCCATACCAGACTGGGGAGCGGAGGGGGATACACCCACTGTGATCCAGCAGGAAATCCATCCTGGATTGTCATGCATCATTGGGGGTGCCTCCATTTACTGGGGCTGTCTGAGTTTCTGAGCCCTCGGAAGTTGGGTAGCAGGACATGGGGAGACTGGGAGGGATGGATGGGGTGTCTCAGGCTAGGCAGCCCCATAAATTGAGATACCCCTAAAACCACTGGTTACCTGTGAAAACATCTGCCCGTGCATCTGCCCAGCCAAGCCTGACACTCAGATGGCCCCACCATGGCCCCCACCCCCTGGTCCGCCTGGTATGCATGGGTCACACTCCTAGCCACTGCCTTCAGGGACAAAGCTGAAGCCTGTGATGTGGGAGAGGGGAGCAGTGTGCTAACTCAGAGATGGGGACAGATCTGGCTGGGGTAGGAGCTACGGGATGGACAGAGAGAGAGAGATGGATGGATGGACTGAGGGGATGTATAGTGATGAAAGAGATACATCAACAGATATGTAGCTAGATATGAACATGTAGCACTGAGTAGATAGAGGGCTGTGCATAGAATCACAGAACACTAGAACTGGAAGGGATCTTGAAGGCCATCAAGTCCAGTCCCTGCCCTCACAGCAGGACCAAGCATCATCTAGATCATCCCTGACAGGTGTCTGTCTAACCTGCTCTTAAATATCTCCAATGACAGAGATTCCACAACCTCCCTAGGCAATTTATTCCAGTGTTTAACCATCCTGACGGTTAGGAAGCTTTTCCTAATGTTTAACCCACACTTCCCTTGCTGCAGTTTAAGCCTATTGCTTCTTGTCCTATCATCAGAGGCCAAGGAGAATATTTTTTCTCCCTTCTCTTTGTAACTTGAAAACTGCTACCATGTCCTCTCTCAGTCTTCTCTTTTCTAAACTAAACACACTCAGTGTTTTCAGTCTTCTCTCATAGGTCATGTTTTCTAGACCTCTAATAGCTTTTGTTGCAACATTGTCACACTCTTGACTTACATCTAGTTTGTGGTCCACTATGTCCCCTAAATGGCTTTCTGTGGTACTCCTTCCTAGACATTTTGTATGTGTGCAATTGATTGTTCCTCCCTAAGAGGAGCACTTTGCATTTGTCCTTTTTGCACTTCATCCTATTTACTTCAGACCATTTCTCCCTATTCCCCAAAGCACTTGCAACCTCTCCCAGCTTGGAATCATCTACACACTTTATAAGCGTACTGTCTATGCATTTATCTAAATCGTTGCTGAAGATATTGAACAAAACTGATCCCTGAGGAACCCCACTTGTTATGCCCTTCCAGCATGACTGTGAATCATTAATAGCTATACTCTGAGAACAGTTATCCAACCAGTTATGCACCCAACTAATAGTCACCCCATCTATGCTGTATTTCCCCAGTTTATTCATGAGAATAATATAATCATAGAATACTAGGACTGGAAGGGACCTCGAGAGGTCATCGAGTCCAGTCCCCTGCCCTCATGGCAGGACCAAATACTGTCTAGACCATCCCTGATAGACATTTATCTAACCTGCTCTTAAATATCTCCAATGACAGAGATTCCACAACCTCCCTAGGCAATTTATTCCAGTGTTTAACCATCCTGACGGTTAGGAAGCTTTTCCTAATGTTTAACCCACACTTCCCTTGCTGCAGTTTAAGCCTATTGCTTCTTGTCCTATCATCAGAGGCCAAGGAGAATATTTTTTCTCCCTTCTCTTTGTAACTTGAAAACTGCTACCATGTCCTCTCTCAGTCTTCTCTTTTCTAAACTAAACACACTCAGTGTTTTCAGTCTTCTCTCATAGGTCATTTTTCTAGACCTCTAATCGCTTTTGTTGCAACATTGTCACACTCTTGACTTACATCTAGTTTGTGGTCCACTATGTCCCCTAAATGGCTTTCTGTGGTACTCCTTCCTAGACATTTTGTATGTGTGCAATTGATTGTTCCTCCCTAAGAGGAGCACTTTGCATTTGTCCTTTTTGCACTTCATCCTATTTACTTCAGACCATTTCTCCCTATTCCCCAAAGCACTTGCAACCTCTCCCAGCTTGGAATCATCTACACACTTTATAAGCGTACTGTCTATGCATTTATCTAAATCGTTGCTGAAGATATTGAACAAAACTGATCCCTGAGGAACCCCACTTGTTATGCCCTTCCAGCATGACTGTGAATCATTAATAGCTATACTCTGAGAACAGTTATCCAACCAGTTATGCACCCAACTAATAGTCGCCCCATCTATGCTGTATTTCCCCAGTTTATTCATGAGAATAATATAATCATAGAATACTAGGACTGGAAGGGACCTCGAGAGGTCATCGAGTCCAGTCCCCTGCCCTCATGGCAGGACCAAATACTGTCTAGACCATCCCTGATAGACATTTATCTAACCTGCTCTTAAATATCTCCAGAGATGGAAAGTCCACAACCTCCCTGGGCAATTTATTCCAGTGTCTGACTACCCTGACAGTTAGGAACTTTTTCCTAATGTCCAACCTAAACCTCCCTTGCTGCAGTTTTAGCCCATTGCTTCTTGTTCTATCCTCAGAGGCCAAGATGAACAAGTTTTCTCCCTCCTCCTTATGACACCCTTTTAGATACTTGAAAACCACTATCATGTCCCCCTCAATCTTCTCTTTTCTAAACTAAACAAACCCAGTTCTTTCAGTCTTCCCTCATAGGTCATGTGCTCTAGACCTTTAATCATTCTCGTTGCTCTTCTCTGGACCCTCTCTAATTTCTTCACGTCTTTCTTGATATGCGGTGCCCAGAACTGGACACAATACTCCAACTGAGGCCTAACCAGCGCAGAGAAGAACGGAAGAATGACTTCTCGTGTCTTGCTAACAACACGCCTGTTAATGCATCCTAGAATCATGTTTGCTTTCTTTGCAACAGCATCACACTGCTGACTCATATTCAACTTGTGGTCCACTATAACCCTTAGATCCCTTTCTGCCATACTCCTTCCCAGACAGTCGCTTCCCATTCTGTATGTATGAAACTGATTGTTCCTTCCTAAGTGGAGCACTTTGCATTTGTCTTTATTAAACTTCATCCTATTTACCTCAGACCATTTCTCCAATTTGTCCAGGTCATTTTGAATTATTACCCTATCCTCCAGATTAGTTGTAACCCCTCCCAGCTTGGTATCATCTGCAAGCTTAACAAGTGTACTTTCTATACCAATATCTAAATCGTTGATGAAGATATTGAACAGAGCCGGTCCCAAAACAGACCCCTGCAGAACCCCACTTGTTATGCCTTTCCAGCAGGATTGTGAACCATTAATAACTACTCTCTGAGTACGGTTATCCAGCCAGTTATGCCCCCACCTTATAGTAGCCCCATCTAAGTTGTATTTACTTAGTTTATTGATAAGAATATCATGCGAGACCGTATCAAATGCCTTACTAAAGTCGAGGTATACCACATCCACCACTTCTCCCTTATCCACAAGACTCGTTATCCTATTAAAGAAGGTAATGTGAGACTTTATCAAATGCCTTACTAAAGTGAAGGTATACCATGTCTACCACTTTCCCCTTGTCTACAAGGCTTCTCATTCTATCAAAGAGAGCTATCCAGTTGGTTTGACATGATTTGTTCTTTACAAATCCATGCTGACTGTTACTTCTCACCTTATCTTCCAGATACTTGCAGAATGATTCCTTAATTATTTGCCTTATTGTCTTTCCTGGCCAGAAGTTAAAATGACTGGTCTGTAGTTTCCTGAGTTGTCCTTATTTCCCTCTCTATAGATGGACACTATATTCTGCCCTTTTCCTGTCTTCTGGAATGTCTCCTGTCTTTCATAACTTTTCAAAGATGATGCTAATGGCTCAGACACCACGTCTACCAACTCCTTGAGTATTCTAGGATGTATTTCATCAGGCCCTGGTGACTTGAAGACATCCAACTTTTCTAGAAACAAGGAGTCCTGTGGCATCTTAAAGACTCACAGATTTATTTGGGCATAAGCTTTTGTGGGTAAAATCCACATCATCAGATGAATTGGAGTGGACATTACAGGCATTCATGTGATGAATTGCATTTTACCCACAACAATGTATGCCCAAATAAATCTGTTAGTCTTCAAGGTACCACAGGACTTCTTGCTTTTACAGGTACAGACTCTGACATCTCAGATGTGAGTCCCTGGCAGGCATTATACATCCTGGGATATCATGAGGAGGGAGGTGTGGACAGAGAGGAATGTATGCAGACTGGAGGGATAGAGAGGATGTATGGAGGGTATAGAAAGATAGGGGTGTCTACATGATTGGATCACATGGACATTTGCCACCCCAGGTGAGTTTGCAGGAGCTGGTTCTTCCAGTATCATGTCTGTGATGACTGACCGAGCCATGGTGAAGAAGGAGCGTCTCCGAGACGTTGTTGGGCGAGACAGGTATAAAGTCAACAACAAGTATGATGGGAGATGCTCGCCACTGCCTGTCAGCAAGATCCTCAGCGAGGCCGAATCTCTGGTGGGCCAGGAGATGGCGTACAGTGTCACCAGCCAGAACTGCGAGCACTTCGTCACCAATCTGCGCTATGGCCAGCCTATGTGCGACCAGGTGTGGGCAGGGGCCCCTCGCGTGCTTTCCCGGAGGGTGGGCTTGGTATAAAGCCACATCTCAGAGCTGCTGATGGGGGAACAAAGAGGGCAATTGCCCAGGGGCCTAAGCAACTTTAAAGGGCCTGGGACTCTCGGGGCTGCTGCTGTGGTAGCTGGGAGCTCCCTGCCACATTTAAATTGAGACTGTGCAGTGTGGTGGCAGCTGAGGGGGAGGGGGAGCCCCTGGGTTGCTCTGGGCTTCCTGACATATTTAAATCACAGCCATTTAATAACTGGCTGGGATAGCAGCAGCATGAGGCACCCAGGACTGCGGCTGGGGGGGGGGGGAGGGAGGCAGCTATCCCAGGCTCTTTAAATGTTGGTGCAGCTCGGGCAGCAATGAAGGGCTGGATGGGGGCAACCCCCTCCCCCTTTTGCAACAATCCCCTCCCCGCACCTTGTTCAGGTACTTCTGTTGGCAGCCCAGCTACACCTACTTGGTCAGGGTCTGTGCAGCGCATGGCACAATGGGGCCCTATCTCACTCATGGTCAGGGCGGCGCCTGGTAGACCTGGGCCCGGATCTTGGTGTATAGCTGCTGCTGTGCCCCTATAAGGGGGATGTGGTCCTTGTGCTCGTGTTAGAGCCCTGGCGTCGCCCCAGCTCACGGGCCCAGCCTTTGGATCTCACATGTTTTGAAGCAGCTCCAGGCACTGCTTCTGGCCCTGGCCTTGTGGCATGTGCCCAAGGTACAGCGGCCGTTTCTGGCACCCCTCCCTGGGGTCATAGGACTCCATAGCCCAGCTGCCCTGGGTCTCAATACTAGTGCTAGCCCCCCTCATCTCCCCAGTAGCTTATGTAGCACCCAGTCGCTCCACCCCCTTCCCAGAAGCTTCACTCGGATTTATAATTTAACCCCCTGGAGACGGTATGGCAGGCAAAGAAAGGAACTTAACCACACACTCCCTCTCTCCCTCCCTCCCTCTCCTACTTGGGAAGCACACCGTGCTACAGGCCTGTGGTTGAACACTCACCACCTGAACGCAATCCCCTCCCTCAGAGCCCTGCCCACCCCTGACGGTCTTGGGTTCTGGCCAGTGTCATCTGGGGAGGCCAGAGCCCCCCTGCTCAGCCTCCTGGTTCTGCAACGGCCTGGCCCCTTGGCTATAGCCCATTGCTTTGTAAAGCCTCTTGTCTTCTGATACCTCTTGCCTGCCTCTCTTCTCACACTGGGCTTTTCCATGCTCTGGCCCTGCTGTGTGCTGCTGGGCACAGAGGCTGTTAAGCATCCATGACAAAGAATGCCACAGTGGTGAGGAAACTGAGGCAGGGAACGGTGTGTAGGCGGGATCATCCTTAGACATGCACGGAATACACAGCTGGATCGGGCACAAGTCAATCTGGCTCCGTTTGAGCTTCTCTAACACAGTCTTTCCGCCCACAAACGGACGGTCTAATCTGTACAGTTCCAAGGGCAGCTTGTGCTCAGCAAAGCCAGTGGGCCTGGACACCGTCCCTAGACCAGGGCTCCCTGGCAGCTAGCTGACTGGCTCCCCTTTCTGTCCTGCAGGTCAGGGAAACCATGACGACGGTGGGGATCGCCGGGGTGAGCCTGTTGGCTCTGGGACTCATCGGAGCCTTTGTTACCAGGCCCAGGCACCAGAAGCAATAGCATGGACTCCCCTCTGAGTCCCAGGCCCAGAACTACAGCTGCAGGGTCCTGCCAGGAGCAGGCTGGACTTGTCAGCATCTTCCTATCATATGTATATTTTCTGCTACTAGACGTTTCCAAAATAAATTAACCTGCCCTCACATGCCGCCTCTGCCTGATCTTGCCGGTTTCACCTCGGCGTGGGGAGTGGGGGGACTGACTCAGATCCCCGTAAATACCCACCTTGTGGGGTGGATTGTGGTGCTCTCCTGGTTTGTCCCCTTCCCAGTCACTCGATCTTCTCCCGCTCCACAGCTGGGCTCCCTCTGCCCTGAAGGGCAACTCACTTGCCACCCACTGAGCCGAGAGCTCAGCCGGGACCACCCAGGACATGCAGGTGGGGGGTGGTCCTGGCTGAGCAGGGACTGGCGAGGGTTGACAAGCCAGCCAGCTAGGGTTGCCAGATGGCTGAAACAAAAATACCCCACATGCCCCCCTCTCCCCCCCCAAAAAAAAAACACCGGGAAAAAATTTTGTTGAAGGAAAAAAAGGGGGGGGAACAAAGTTGTTGAGCAAAAACAAAACAAAACAAAAAAGACTCAAAGAACCTGGGTCACTGCTAGGGGTCCAAAAAAAACAAACAAACAACCCAAAACCCAGAAACTCTTCATGGTGGGAGGAGGAGGACTGGCCAGGAAGGGAGCGGTGCTGGCTGGGAAGGGGGGGGCAACAGGGCTGGCCGGAGGAGCTGCAGAGCCCAATGGGAAGCAGGGCTGATCGTGGGGGCGGGGGGTT